GTGACTAAAACACTATGGCTCAGACAGAGGGGCTTACCTCACATTAATAATGTGCTATGCTAGGATATTGCCCCTCATACCGAGGCTTACCCTTTCCAGGCTTACAAAAATCACATTAATTGATTTTGGCTGTAGCCTAGATGGTAAAGCTGTGATTTTTGTTCTTTTAGTTTTTTAGATTCATAAGAGTATTCCCAATTTTCTTTCTCGCTTGTTCTATATTAGCGCTCCTGCGTCCTTTTATGAAAAGTATTATTGCACATATTAAAAAAACATTTCCGCTTTTGCAAAAATCGGTGTTTACCTTTGTAAAAAAGTGGCGTTTTCACTTAAGCCGCCGACATCCAAACAAGGGATAAACAAGGGATTTTATCTTTCGTATTTTACTCTCTCTTCTACATACCCAACAAGGCAACAAACCGACCATCATCCCTACATTATAATTATTTATCAATGCAAGCACAATTAGCACATATACTAATGCTTTATGCATCCCAAATTTATTTTCAATTTGCATTTTTTATGATTGGTCGAGAATAAAGTTAATTTCAAATCAATTTTAATAATTAAAGCTTACATTTTCAGGAACTATATTGAAAGGTTCTATAAAATCACAAAATTAAAATTAGAATTTTATAAAAATCAATATCCCACATTATTAAATTAAATAAAACTATGTTGACTAATAAAAGTAGACTTTATCAATCATTTTGAGATGGAGTAAGTATAAAATAATAGGAGCAACATCCTTTCATCTAATCACCGATTATACTCCGTAATATTTAACTTTCCTGCTAACAAATGATTTAATGTTATTGTTGTGTATTACTCTACATTCACATAAAAAACACTTGGATTCCCTTGTGATGTTGCATTGACAACAATGAGTTGATTTTATTATGTTAGTGATGTGCATATGTATTATGGTATTACCTTTAACAAATCTTACTCATTGCAAACACTCTGTTTTTCCCCTTTTTCTTTTTCCGTGAGCGAATTATATTTATAATTTATGCATGTACATAACAATTAGATAATTTATGCAAATTATCTGAACAATAAATCCCATTGGGCATTTACTTCTTCGCGCATCGCGCGTGATAAAAACTAGTTTTCATATATAAAACTCATATTGTGTGTCGTAGTGTCATGCATGGATGAATGAACACGTATATATAAAACCAATTAAAAACTAAAATAGGAATGCAAAATATATATTGGGTTTTCAAATTAACTTTCAAGAACAAATAGAGATAAAATCAATTCATCAGTGTTGACTTCATTGCCATCATTGCAATTACAAATAATTCTCATTTTGCTTTAAAAAGATCATACTTTGAGACAATAGAATATTTTTAAGTATTTCATGATGAATACATTTTCTTACATTTTGAAATCTTGAACTAAACTTTATTGACTTATTATGCTAGGCGTGTTAATTGCCAAGTTCATAAGATGTAGCTATAAATCTAACTCCATTATCATCTATCACGAGCGCTCAATACATAGAAAGTAATAGTCTACCATTAGTTAAACATTTTGATCTCATCAATATATTTAATCAGTATGGAGGTTGATCCGTCGTTTGATGAGGAGATTGATACGCTCGACAGTGGCGGCGTAGATGATGATGGGTGGACGATGGCGCTTAAGAGGGTTGTTCCGGCAGTGGTCGTGCTCCGAGTTATTACATGTCGAGATTTTGACACATACACCGCCGGTTCAGGTCAAGCGACGGGCTTCGTCGTGGATAAGGATCGAGGAATCATACTCACAAACCGACACGTTGTTAAACCCGGTGATTCATTTTTATATGGAATATAGATACTTCACATGCATTTATTTTTATGATAATAATGATACATGGTAGATGACTACTCACAAGTTTTGTGAATGATAAAGTTGTTCTATAAGTCCTTTCTACTGCATGACACTAAATAAAACTATTAGAACATTGATTCAGATGAAGTTTAAGTTTTTATCCTCTTTTTGTATTTGTCATTCTTTTTCTTAATTCACTTTGCTTCTCGTGATGTTTGAGAATGTGATTTTAATGGTAAACAATATAGACAAAAAGTCAAACATAAGAAAAATTGGAATGATTAGATAAAAGAAAACACTGGTGGATTTTGACACGACATTCATTCGTAAGTTAGTGTGTGTCTGACTGCGATAGACACGTAGTTTTAAAAATAAAAGAATTTGAGGTTAAGATTTATTTTATAGAGAGATTAGTATTGCGAACCACACATTTCTTTCTTTAAAAATAAATAAACAAGACTTTTGGGACATTAGTACTAAAATACATTTTTGTCCGTAAAAGAAAAGATTACTTGGGGGGAGTCACAAAAGCAGGAGGAGTGCGGTATATATTTTAACATCAGCACTATTTTACCAAAGCTTGAACTCCTCAATTGCTTTGTGTGTGAATTTATCTCTCACTCATTTTAAAAATATCAACTCGATAGTGGAGTTGTAATAAGAAATTTATTAACCAAGATCACTAATACTCATTCTTCTAAATAGACATCGCACCACTGTAATGATTCCTTCCATCAAGACTTTGCATTTGAGGTAAAATTGACTAAAAATTGAGTAAAAATTCCATCACGAAAAGTACTCTATGTATGACTAAAAATATTACCCATAATTTTCCCCTAATAATGATGGCACATGACATATATGCACACATCACGCGCTTTCTTTTACTTATTTTGTTCCATATGTGGTTTGGTTATATTATTTGAAACAGACATGTTTAGTTAAATTTTTAAAATTGTCATGGATTTTTGTCTTATCACTACAACAAAAAATTGATCGATCATTTTTTGCTAAATAGCTCATGACAAAATGTATTTGGCGTATCCATGCCAAGTCCTCTATGAATTTTGGTGAATTCATGCCAAAAATCTCTTTCAATCCCGTCAATTTTTGTAATGTATATAAGTATTTTGCCAATATATTTCTCTAATAGAACAAGTCATGTATGTTTCTTTTGTCGATACAAGCTAAGTATTCATCCACTAAAAGAAGAAGAGGATAAGAGTACTCAATAATTCGGTTTTAGGAATGTATGCATCATACTTTTGAATGAATATATATTCAAGTAGACATTTTTATTTCATGTATCAAATTTTTCTTAATCTTATGGTTTAGTGTGTGATAAGTTTGGGGTTTGTTATGTATGTAGGACCTATAACTGCGGAAGCTATATTTACGAATGGTGAAGAAATCCCTATATATCCCTTGTATCGGGACCCAGTGAGTTGTTTAGTCATTGCACATTAAATTTCACTGTTGACTCAAACCGTATATTCTACTATCAATCATTCAATCTCATTCTACGTTTCGTTCATTATGTTAAAATATACTATGTAATATTCATCTCAATAATTATTTTAAGACATGTTTTCTTAATTTTATATCTGACTATGTGCTATTTAAGTTGATATGACTAAAAATACAAACAAAATATACGATAATAGTCATGATTAGATCTGTATTATCAAATTAACTAAAAATGCAGGAGGCAAGGTGATAATTCCATCTGATATGGCATAACATGGATGAATTAAATAAATTATCAAAATCTTGCCAAGTTCATATAAATACAAATAAGTGACATATATTATTTTTTACTCCCTCCGTCCCAATTTACTTAGCCAAACTTGATATCTCAAGTCAATGGTACCTAAATTTGACTGATTATAAATCTATATGGAGAAAATATTAATAATATAAAAATTATATGGAAATGTTTTTTGTTGAAAATACTATTATAAAAGTATAAAATTATTATTTTTTTTCACAAATATATTAGTTAAAATAATTGGTCAAAGTTTATCACCTTTGACCGGAAAAGTCAAGATTGGCTAACTAAATTGGACGGAGGTAGTACATGATTTAAACACAATATCTTTTTTGGGGACAGGAGAGTACGTATTGATATTTAATTTTGAACCGGGAGTCATATAATCAAATTAATAAAACTAGCTGAGTTAATACATATGAATGTCTGTTTTTTTCTAAAGGAGTGATTCTTAGTTGGTAGCAATGTTCGCTTCTTAGTTGTAGGGGTGCGAACCAAATCCCAAAAACGGAGAATAAAAACCGCGACTTGCGGGCGTCCTGCGGACACGAATGTTGTCCAAAAATCTTCCGGTCGCTCCGGGGCTAGAAGACCACCGGGTGTTCTGGTCGCGCACCAGAACGGTTCTGGTCCGTTACAACAGTTAATGTCCAACATCGTTCTCCTTTAATGCGCGTTTTAATGAACATTTTTTGCCATATTAATGCCCAACGTGCTGGACATTTATGTGCAACGTTCAGGTCCATTAAAGCTCAATTAACACACCACAAATCCATCCCTATATATAGTTGGCATGTGTTTTGCAACATCACACCTCACAACACATTTAGCACGAAGCTTTTGAGCTAAAATCACCTCCAACTCTCCGAAAATTTCTTAGTGTTCACACTTTGTTCTCGTTCGCCGGAACTTTCGTTTGTGTGCTCAAACGATCGTTCCTTAGCCACCGTAACACGAGCTCTGGTAAAATTCTGCTCCTATTTTTTGTTTTTCTTTGTCATTTTATTTAATTTTAATTAATTAATTATTCTTATTTTTTCCGAAACACACATAGATTCCTTCATTACTACTAAGATAGTTAGATTATTTAAAGGTTTGATAGTTCAATGGAAAAAATCGAAAAAATCGCTGGTCTAGTTTTACCAAAGTGGAAAAAATGGATTAATTAGGTGGAAAGTATATATAGAATGAATAACTATGTTTTTTTTATTAAAGTAGGATTTATTCAATTCTAATAAAAATATACAATTTTGATTTTTTTGTAACATACAATTTTGAAATTATGAATGAATCTTATGGAGTATTTTTTTAAGAAAAAAATAATTATGATTCTTTTTATGCATCTTATTTACGGAGTATGTTTTATTATAGGAATTTTCTGGAGTAAAAAATGGCCTTCCCGTTACCCGCAGTTACTCGGACCCTCGCGGGCCTTTTGTCCCGCGCGGGAAGTTCTTATCATAGGCTCATGGCTCCGGTCTGATCTTCCGGAATGATTAACTTTAGATTTCTCGTGGATTGTGCAAATCCGAAATTCAATGGATTTATTTCAAGATTGAATTTATGTTAGTGTTAAACTGTTAATCTTTAAAAATTTATTGCTTGAAATGTAGTTTAGTTTGCTAAACAACTGATACTTGATGATACCTTCATCGAGACTTTATGAGATTTCTCACTCTTTTGGCACATTTTTCAGATTCATGATTTTGGTTTTTTCCGCTATGATCCTGGCGCTATACAATTCCTGAGCTATGAAGAAATTCCCCTTGCTCCTGAGGCTGCTTTTGTAGGACTTCCCATTAGGGTTGTTGGAAATGATAACAGAGATAAGGTATATAGTTTATACTTATGTGGACTTGAAATTGCTTATCATAAGAGACGTTTTATACTTAAACTAGCTAGTTATCTGGTGGCCGGTAGGCTCCTCTTTCCCTCGACTTTACATATTTTATACGGAGTAAGTGTTTTTTATGGAAGAAACTGAGATGCTATGGAAGTATGGAACACACAGAACAAGGAGCTGTTTAGCTTTTCCTGTAATCTGTATTTTGGTTATGGACATTGTGTAACATTTATGCTTATTTTTAGACACGTTTTAGGACATGTGATGGTCAAAATCAGAATATAGATCTTTACGGTGATTCTTATTTTGATAATGAAGTAATGGATTCTATACTTTATGCAGTTTCTTTAGTTCCTAATAATCTGTCTCTTCATTATGCATAGGTCTCCATTGCGAGTGGCATAATAGGACGTTTGGATAGGGAGGCTCCACAGTATAACAAGTGCGTTTCTTTATTGAAACTATACAACTTCTTTGCTTTTAATATGGAAGATGAGGACAAGTGCCTATTCATTTCATTGAGGACATTAAAAGATTTTTTTATTGCAACCATTTTCTGTGCCTTGTTATATCAATTATATTAGATTGCGCTTTTCTGCAGGTTATTTATCAAAAGACTGCTTTCTGTTAAAAGTTATTTTGATTAATTGTGTGCTCAAAACATTCTCTATTCTGTTTTATACCATAATAATAGTCAATGGGTGAATTTCAAATCCCATTTCCACCTTGAGAGTGTTTCTATATACATGTCCAAGAGGGTATCACGGTATCTCATACACCATATCTTTCCTTCTTGAATAAAGTCAAGTGGTTTCAACTTATTTATGTATTAATGAAGCCTTTTCAATTCCTACTCCATTAGTTACCAATCGACTCTACTGAACAACTATACCAAATTAGTTCTGTTTGCTTTGTGGTGCAAATTCTCTATTCAGCCCTCTTAATGTCATATTGCTTGATTTTACATGCTTGTTTTTAGCAGGCTGTGTTTGACACACAGAGTTAAAAAAAAAACTAATACTCCTTAGCTAGAATCCTAATGCTATAAACATGGGTAGATTCTTTAGTCAGTCTAATAGCTGATAAATATGTGAAATTGATGTTGTAAAAAGCATTAGGCACTAGGCAGATGACAAATAGAAGGCCTGTGCACTGAGTGTTGATAGAGATTAGTTGAGGCTAGACATATGCTGATTAGATGGAGCCTAAGTACTAAAAGACATACGCTGACAAGGATAGCTCCAGCACATATGTGGAGATTATTAATACAATGGGCCTAAATATAAAAAGACAAAAGTTGAGTGACTTTGCATCTACATCTGACTCAGTGTTCCACAAAAATCCTGTAGAAATGTCTGTACATTATTCAAAAGTTGTGAACAGGGTAACCATAGATCCTTATGGCGAACATACATTGGTTGAATTTTTATTTTCTATGGGAGAATCAAAATGAAGTGTAAAAAAGTAAACCGACAAATGACAGCACTTGTAGGTAGGTTGGATGAGGAAGAAAATGACTGGACATCTAGGCTTGTAGGCTTCATGCAAAACGTCGAAGGCATCCATCAGTTTTACCTACAAGGGGTTACTCATTTAATCCATCCTTATATGAGTCGAGAGAAGGCTTTGTTAAGAGCTTATATCCCCGTGCTGGACATGCATGATAACACTCAAAACAGAATATATACTAGGGTACTAGGGTTTCACCAGTAACAAGAATGTCCTGAGCCACTCTAACATCTATCAGTTTATCAATATCACAACTTATTTGTAACAAAATAGCAATTTTATCTGATATCATCACACATGTATATTGGATTCAATTCACTTGTTATCTCTGGAAAAAAATGGCATACCATTTCATCTGGAAAATAGATGAAATTACCACCCAAGAAAAACTTAAAAATGAGAAAATATTGATCTGTCTTATTCTAACTTCGCCTCTTATCAATACGTATGAATTCCAAAATATTCATTTCATTTCATTTTGATCTGTCTTATTTCTTCATTTTGTCAACATATCTATTCATTTCATTTCTTATCTAAAATATTCATGTATGTTTATTCACTTCATATTTTCATCTCTCATCTAGTGTTCCCACTGTTCCATCAAGTCATGTATAACATATACTTTATGTGACCCCATATAGTTTTATGTTCATATTTTATTTACTTGTGCACTAGTGCCAATCATGCACAGTTGCACAAAGTGAAGTAACAAAGTAGCTATTATGTCACCTTGATCCTTTTTTCTTATCTATCAAATGAGTAGAGAACATGCGCTATAGATGATATTGCTTAACAAACAACCTCTAGTCTTTGTATTTGATAACATTTCATATGGTCTAACGGTGGGGGAAAACCAACGTCGTCGTTTCAGTAATTTTTTTGTCTCTATCTTATCCATGATCACATTGTAATATTTTAATTTGTAAACATTTTTAAAATGTAAATATTTTTAAAATGTTTAGTTTTGTTGATGCAGGGAGGGCTACAATGACTTCAATACATTTTATATCCAAGTAAGCAATTATGGTTTGGATCATTTTCTTCTGCTAAATTGCATTTGGTCAAAGTTAGCGTATCAGTGCTGTTACTATTAGAGATAGTGATCTTATCACCTTAAAGCCTTTTTCTTTATTGTACAATCAAAGGTTGCATCTGGGACTAGAGGTGGCTCAAGTGGCTCTCCAGTAATTAACAGGCAAGGCAAAGCTGTTGCTTTAAATGCTGGGTCCAAATCAATCGGGACTAGAGGTGGCTCAAGTGTCTCTTCTTTTCTTCTGCCTTTAGAAAGAGTGAGTACATATTCTCTCCCTCTTTTCAATTTTTCCCCTTTTCAAGTGAGGACATTTTCCTAAACCAGGTTTGCTTTTTCTATTTTTATGCGCTGAACATTATACTCTGTATTAGTATACTATACATAAAATAGCTTATTTTCCCAGAAATCGTTTTCAACTAAAAACATTTTTTCCAGATCAACTTACTTCTGGCAAAAAAAGCAGAGCCTAAGATATTAAGTTCCTTTCAGGTTGTGAGGGCTTTGAAGTTCCTACAAGAAGGAAGAGTGAATTTCACAAACTCATGGGAAGCTTTCTCCATTCCCCGTGGTACACTTCAGGTTTGATCTTTCTCTGACTCTCCTACTATTTCTACACCATTCACTATTGTGTGAAAAGGAACACATAAAAGTGGATGGATGGGAGTACTTACGTTAGCAAAATGATATTTAGATGGTGGGTTCTTTTTCTAAAATGAATTCATTATGGATTTGAGATGGAGCCTTCACTAGGTCTTGTCAATTTTTGTTCAGCTAGGTCTTGTCATTTTTTTGTTCAGGCAACTTTTTTGCATAAAGGATTTGATGAGACCCGTAAGCTTGGTCTTCAAAGCGATACAGAGCAGGTATATTTATATCACATTGATGATCTAATTTTCCTTATATTTATAAATGGTAAAATAATCATAGATTCCTTCTTCTTTTTGGCTAAGTTTGTGCGTAACTCATCCCCACTGGATGAAACTGGAATGCTTGTTGTTGAGTCAGTGGTAAGTATACCTTCCCTGGTGCCTATTGCCTAAATTAATATGGTTTCTACACAAAAACATTTATTATAGATCTGCTACAGGTGCCAGGTGGTCCAGCTGATGACTATTTAGAGCCAGGTGATATTCTTTTTCATATAAATGGGGAGGTTAGTCCTCTATGTCTCTATGCATGAATCATGAATATATGAATAATTGAGAAGCAATTGAATACAATAGATTTCTCAGCATTAACCTCCCCAAAATCAACAAAAATGTATCTGGAATTGCCCATTTGAAGAAGCTTTTTGAATCAATCATTGTCTTCGTAGTAACTCCTTAAGCAAATGCAAGTGTACTGCTTGCTTATTGGAATACACCCTTCCTTTCATCTAGCTCTTTCCTCATTAGTTTTGTACTTCATGGCTTAACAGCCTTGCAAATATCATTCATATTTTCGTCGAACCAATGCCCCCTGCAACCATTAGAGAAACAATCAACCACCATTAGTATGGGATAGTGCCATTCGACTGCTATTGAGGTCAAAAGGGGACGGGTTGCATTTTCCAAAGCAGGTGCATTCTACTGCTATTTAATGCTTCAAGATCTTTCTTGAAAAGTTGAATTTTTGCTTCGTACTTACTTTTCTCATCAGTCTCAAAATTCTCTTCCCATTTCTTTTAAGAAAAGAATTGTATGGTTGATATTTTTTATTTTCCTTCGTAAATAAATCTCAACCACCAATCTCATTTCTTAATGAGCATGAAAAATACTAATGAGAAACTAACTGGGGGACATAGTGAGTGTTGTTTGAGGTCATTAGGGATATTCGCATATCACCTTAAATTGATGGTTAATATTGTGCTGACTGTTAAGAGATTTGCTGTAGGTGATTACACGGTTCCTCAAACTGGAGATGATACTTGATGACAATGTCGGACAGCAAATTGAACTTCAAATCGGAAGGGGTGGTATTTCAATGACCATTCAGTTGCTGGTGAGCTCACTATTGCTAGTGTTGGATCGGTGAACTACCTACCTGCTAATCTAATCTGGGGATACAGTACCCTTAAATCTCATTGCCAGTTTTTCACTGAAGTTTTTCCCTATTATTTAACAAATATGATGTTTTGAAATTATTTTAAATTAGCATCACTTTTATGCCAGTTGATTTCAAATTCACTGGCTAATAATATCTAACTGCATTACATGTTTACTTACATTAAATGTATGTTTAAGAGGTTTTCTTTTAACTGTGCTATTAACACGTTCTCATAGAGCTGACTTAGTCTCTAAATTGATTTTAGGTTCAGGATTTGCACTCAATAACGCCTGGTTACTTCTTGGAAGTCAGTGGTGCAGTGATTCACCCTCTATCTTATCAGCAGGTCTGTAATAGTTATTATTTCTTATAAAAATGCATGGCATTTTATTTATTTTCAATAATCATCTTGGAACCAGTTTCATGAAATGTACGCATCGATGCTGTCTTAATTGTCTGTTTCTTGTTATCTTTTGACTCAGGCAAGGAATTTCCATTTTCAATGTGGCCTTGTTTATGTTGCAAAACCGGGGTTTGTACTTCACTCCTATAGATATATACGATTTGGTTGTTTATTTATTTTTAAATTATTTATTTATGTTTTTATTAGTTAATTTATTTATGTTTTTATTTGTCCATTAATTCATTAATATATTTGTTTTATGATTACTCTACTCCTTGATTGTGAAAAATATGGCTGTTTTTCACAAAATCTTTATGTGGTGCCTCTCAATCTAATCTTTGGTGACAGAAAATGTTTTTTAAAAGTAACCACACAAACTTAAACTGCAGATACATGCTATTTAGAGCAGGGGTTCCTCGCCATTCCATCATTAAGAAATTTGCAGGTGAAGATATATTAAGACTCGAGGATTTGATTTCTGTTTTATCCAAGTTGTCTAGTGGTGCAAGAGTGCCACTAGAGTACATAAACTACACAAATCGCCACCAAAGAAAGGTATTGGGACTGTCGTACGAATCCTATTTTTTTTTTTTTCAATTCATTATCTTGCTTTCTTTCATTTGATGCCAGAATCCTTTCGTAGTGACAGTGTATAGTGACTGTTTTTTTCCAGCTTGCCATAACCAAACTGCATAAAGTAGAACAATTTCACAATTTGAAATAAGTCGAGTAGTGTACTAGTGTATAGGGTATGAAAAATATAGTGCCATCATGGTTCTAAAAAATGGTCTTCCGAACTATTTTGTGAAACACAGTATTGGTCTTTGTTTTTCCTTCACATGTATCTTATTTTGATTTTAAGATTATGAGTACGTGATAGAACTAATATAAATTAAAATTAAAATCACTCTCTTGTAATATTTTTTTACCAAAGATGTTCTTAATCTCTTAATGTCTTCCCTCAAACTATTCATTTACAAGTAAATGACGACAGAAAACAATCTACTATAAATCTACAATAACTATAACTCCTTGACCAAATGGATGGATGGCAAAAGTCTCATCTGTTTATCTATTGTTTAGTGGGTATTGCATGAGTTATTTTATGAATGTCTTTAAATGCAGTTTGTTTTAGTCACACTTGACCGCCATGAGTGGTATGCCCCACCTCAGATGTACACCCGCGATGACAGTTCTGGCTTATGGATGGCTAAGCCAGTTTTATCCTCAGGCTCGCTTCTCTTGTCTGGCACAGATCCTGACAACCAAGTTCACCGTAGTGTATCTTGTGCTGGTGAAGCTCCAATGAATGAAACAGCTCAACATTTTGACCACAAGTCAATAGATAGTATTACAGATATGCTAACCAGTCATAAGTTAGTTTCAGAGAAAGATAGCTTGTCTGCTGATGAATTTGTTATATCTGATGGTTCCTCACAAGTTCTTACAAAAGAAAGATTGATCGATACAACTATAGATGATGTAGTAGTAAGAGATTGTAAGGGCCTCGTGACAAAGTCAGTCAATGCCTTTGTTCCTGAGCGTGTGGTTGAGCCCACCCTTGTGATGCTTGAGGTAATTATTCTAATACCTGGTATGGCTTAGTCTGAGTGTTGCTGATCTAGACTATTTTCTTTTTTTGAAATATAACATCTGGTCTGATCAGAGCTAATACTTTTAGTTTAGTCCGTATCTTCTTAGCATGGTCTGATCTAAATGGTTTTTGTCTAATTAAAATAAAATACGTAGTATGTAGGTTCAGATGTTTAAAAAGGAAGTAATATCTCAAACTTAGACCTCAGTTGTTTAAAATACTAAGGTACACTCCCTTTTGTGGTCCTATTTGTAGGTTCATGTGCCATCGTCTTGTATGTTGGATGGTGTCCAATCACAGCATTTTTTTGGAACCGGTGTGGTTGTATATCATTCTGAAACTGTGGGATTGGTTGTTGTTGATATGGAGACAGTTGCAGTGTCAGTTTCTGATGTCTTCCTGTCTTTTGCTGCTTTTCCTATTGAAATCCCTGGGGAGGTACTGTTGTAAACCATTTTTTGAAGATTTTTAAAATTTTATGCTGCTAAGCATTTTTTAATTTTTTTTAAGCAGTTTAATTTCCGTAACAGGTAGTCTTCCTCCATCCCACACATAATTTTGCTTTTGTTGCATATGACCCTAAAGCACTCGGAAATATTGGTGCTTCTGCAGTTCATGCTGCTGAACTCCTTGCTGGTAAACTTGTTTCCCAAAGCATTGGATTGTGCTCAATCCATGCCACAATCACACACACAGATCTTTGAATTACTTGCCTTTTATTATTCTTGGTTTTTTTTAAATAGCACCGGTATGAAACTTTTTAATTCTCATTACTTTTAAAAAAGGAAAAGAACTTCCATATCTTTGGGTTTCCATGGAAGGATTTATCTTCAAGCAGATTTGAAGGTAAAGGAATAACTGTTAATATTTTCGAATTATAGTATGAGATGATGTTTTTTACCGCATTTCTAAAATGATAAAATCAGCGAATGTCATAATTATGATACTCTTTAAACTTATCTCTTCGATAAATACCTTCAATAAAATATCATGTATCACTTTATTGTGTTCTAGTTTTTCCTTACGACACCTCATTCGTCACCTTAATTGCAGTTATGTTGGGCTTGGTATAGTCATTTACTTGTTTAAAAAGAGGTAACACTATTGAAGTCCGTGCACAATGCACGGTGACAATTGTGCTTGGTGTGCATAATTTTCTTATAATGGGTAAAAAGGAAAATCCGGTGAACAAAGGCATCCATGATGTCCACAAGGAGAGGGTCCAGGGAAGGGTGCCACCACAAGGGTTTATAAGGGGCAAGCCTTCCCCTACCAAATTTTGATAGGAGCTGCTCCCAAGATTTGAACCCATGACCTCTCAATCACACAACAACACCTTTACACCAAAGCTTTTCTTACAATGGATGAATCATGAATGTGATAAAATTCCAGAACCATTATCATCATAATTCGTTCACTTACAACAACATCCAAGCCCGGATCGGCTAATATTGAAGGAGATCAGAATTTGGAATTATCTCTCTTGTGTATTATGATGAATTTGGGTATATTTATACACAAGGATCCCTTTGAACTGATCCTGATTTCTAGGAACTACTCCTACTATTAAGGAAAGAAATATACAGCTATACATATATATCAAACAAAATCTCAAGATACTCTAGATCCACAATAATAGGAAATAAGATCTCAAGATACTCTAGATCCACAATAATAGGAAACTATTATTCTTGCCCTATATAGCCAGTTGGTTTGAATTTCTACACTCCCCCTCAAACTAGCTGGTATATACTCATTAAACCAAGTTTTGAACTTAGTTCAATGAAGTTTGGTCGAAAGAGTGCCTTTGTGAGAATGTCTGCCACTTGATTCCTGGATGAAACATGTTTTAGTGTAATAACATTGCTCTCTATCTTCTCGCTGATGAAGTGTCTGTCAATCTCAACATGCTTTGTTCTGTCATGATGGATCGGGTTTTTGGCAATGGCTATGGCTGATTGGTTATCACACATAATGTCTATAGGTCCAGAAATGTTCACTTTGAGTTCATCTAGTAGCCGTTTTAACCATATTCCTTCACAAATGCCTTGAGTTAAGGCTCGGAATTCTGCCTCAGCACTGCTGCGTGCTACCACCTGTTGCTTTTTGCTACGCCATGTCACTAGATTTCCCCACACATAGGAGCAATACCCTGAAGTTGATTTTCGGTCACTAGGGGATCCAGCCCAATCCGCATCTGTGTAGACCTCTAGAGAGTGATTGTGAGTCTTCTTGAACATTAGACCCTTTCCAGGATCCCTCTTGAGGTATCTAAGAACACGATACACAGCTTCCATGTGGGAGACCGCAGGTTGCTTAAGAATTGACTCACACGGCTGACTGCAAAACTGATATCAGGACGTGTGTGAGTTAAGTAAATTAGCTTCCCAACTAGACGTTGATATTGTTCTTTGTCCACAGCCATCTCTTCTGTTCGAGGCATTAACTTTATGTTCGGGTCCATAGGAGTGTCTGCCGGCCTACATCCAATCATGCCGGTTTCCTTTAAGAGATCTAAGACATACTTCCGCTGGGATACTGCAATTCCGGCCTTTGATCTCGCTACTTCCATTCCCAAGAAGTACCTTAGATGTCCCAAATCCTTGATTTCAAACTCTTTTGACAATAGGAGCTTGAGTCTTCTTATTTCTTCGTCATAGTTCCCCGTGAGGACTATATCATCAACATATACTATTAGTATAGTGATCTTACCATCGGTGAAATGTTTGAAGAATAGAGTATGATCGGCTTGGGACTGTAGGTAGCCATCCTGTTTAAGTACCCTTGTGAATCTGTCGAACCATGCCCGAGGCGATTGCTTGAGCCCATACAGTGACTTGCGTAGTCTACATACTTTGCCTTGTGTTTGATCAGTTTCGAAGCCAGGTGGGATATCCATATACACTTCTTCTACTAGGTCTCCGTTCAGGAAGGCATTTTTCACGTCTAGTTGAAATAAGGGCCAATCTTGGTTCCCGGCAATGGACAACAGGACTCGCACGGTGTTGAGTTTGGCTACAGGAGCGAATGTTTCCTGGTAGTCAATTCCATACGATTGGGTGTAGCCCTTGGCTACAAGACGAGCTTTGAATCGTTCAATACTTCCATCTGCTTTCTGTTTTACCGAAAAAATCCATTTGCACCCCACTGTTTTCTTTCCAGGTGGTAGAGTTGTTAAGACCCATGTACCATTCTTCTCTAGAGCATGGAGTTCTTCTAGAGTAGCATCTCTCCATTTGGGAACCCTTAATGCATCATGGACTGTTCTAGGAATCTGGACATTGTCTAGAGCAGTCACACATGCCCTGAATCTCTGCGACAGTTTGGAGTAGGTCATGTAGTTACGGATGGGATGTTGAGTACATGAGCGGACTCCTTTTCTCTGAGCAATTGGTAAGTCTAACTCAGGATCCCCACCTGTCATTGCCTCAACACTTATTTCAGCTTCATCCTGTGTTGTTTCTGGGTTTCTTGAGTTCGGATTCGGCTGCTGGTTTTGCTGATTCTGGGCAGGCGGCTGAGATTGTTGTCTCCTAGTGTAGACTCTTACTTCCTCATCAGGTAGAAGGAGGTGTTTTGGGTGTATGACAGACTCATGGGAGGATGATTTGGGAGTTTTCAGAGACTCATGTGAACCTGGAGAGGTGGCATATGGAGTTGAAAGCCGGCTAGGATCTGCTGGAGGTTGCGAATTGGTTAGAGGCTGGCTGGAATCTGTTAGAATTTGGCTGGTTGGGGTTTCCACCGGATTATAGTAATTTGGACTAGGGACCGAATCAATGAGGGATGTCCAGTCCCAATTTTGTGATTCATGTTCGGTGGTTGTCTCCCCCTGAATTACAGAATTAGGATAGAATGGTTTATTTTCGAAGAAGGTGAGATCCATGGTGTGATAAAATCTTTTGGTAAGAGGGGAGAAACATTTATATCCTTTCTTGTTTGGTGAGTAGCCGAGGAAGATGCATTTGAGTGCTCTTTCATCAAGTTTTCCTCGGCTGTGAGGGTAGATGTGGATAAAGGTAGTGCATCCAAATATTTTGAGAGGAATTTGGGAGAGTAAATGTGAGTTAGGATAGGCAGCAAGGAAGGTTTTGACTGGAGTTTTGAATTTAAGAACACGTGAGGGCATCCGATTGATAAGGTATGTGGCGGTGAGGACTGCCTCACCCCAGAATTGTTTAGGCACATTTGATTGGAAGAGTAGTGAGCGAGCAATGTCGTGCCTCAAGGATATGACGATTTTTGCGTTCAGCCACACCATTTTGTTGGGGTGTGTCTACGCATGAGCTTATGTGGACAATGCCTGAAGTTTGGAGATAAGGGCTGAGAATTGAGTTAAAGAAGTCTCGTGCATTATCAGTTTTGAGAACTTGGATGGTGGCCTGAAATTGGGTGCGTATCATGGCATGAAAGTGTTTGAAGATTTGGCTAGTTTCGGTTTTGTCTTTCATGAGAAAAGTCCAGCTCAACCGGGTATGGTCGTCAACGAGCAACAGAAACCATCTAGCCCCAGACACATTAGGAATTCGGGTTGGACCCCATATGTCACCGTGGATAAGTGAAAAAGGATGAGTCGGTGTGTAAGGTCGTGGCATGTATGTAGTTCTAGTGTGCTTTGAGAATTGACAAACATCACATTGAAATAACTTGGCATCTTTATTAATGAATAATGATGGAAATAGATGTTTTAAGTACAAGAAATTTGGATGACCTAGACGATAGTGCCATAACATTATGGCATCGGTCTTATTGGACAAATTTATTGACTCATGACTCTGAATGGACCAACACTGTGGTTTGACACTGCCATTATTGTGGCTTTGAGTGGGGACAGAAGAGGAGTCTACTCTGAGGAGATACAAGCCTGCACACAGTTCAGCATTGCCAATCACCTTCCCCGAACCCAAGTCCTGAAAAACACAAGATTTGGCAAAAAATTTAGTCTCACAATGAAGATCCTGGTTTATTTTGCTAACAGAGAGTAGGTTACAATCAAGTTCGGGTACAAATAACGCAGAGTGTAGGGTAAGTTTGCTCGAGAGGTGTATGGTTCCTATTCCAGCAACTCTCGAGCGTGAACCATTGGCAATTCGTACTGTTTGATACTTCTGGCACGGAGTATAAGTTGAGAACAATGATCTATCACCTGTCATGTGGTCTGATGCGCCTGAGTCTACTATCCAAGGCGTAGATGGAGGCTGAGTTACATGTAGGGCCTGGTTTCCATTACTGTGCGCGAATCTGCTCCCTGATTCCGGTGGCTGTGGGCTGATTGATAGGCTGGTTTTGCTGAGTAGATGCTGAAGCAGTTCCAGCTGGTCCTTTGTGAAGGGAACTTGACTCTGGGATTTTGTTGCCTCCATGGAGGCAGCGTTTACCCGGCTCTCACGATCAGATGTGGTCCTGTTCGGCTTCCAATCTGCTGGTTTACCATGTAGTTTCCAGCAGGTTTCTTTGACATGGCCAGGTTTCTTGCAATGGTCGCACCAAGGGCGTCCTCTTCGTGGCCGGTTATCTCCTGGTGATTGGAGCATCCCGCGGGCAGCACAGGCAGCAGACTCGGCAGTGACTGAGTGATCTTTGACAGTCGCAAGGGCAGATCCATCATCGGTGGTCGGGCCATTTGACTGCCCCATCATGACTCTTCTGCGGCTTTCCTCTCGACGAACCTGGAAAAAGGCCTCGCGGAGACTTGGCAATGGTTTGGTTCCGAGTATTCGACCTCACACTTCATCAAGAGACTTATCAAGTCCCATTAGAAACTTGAAGATGCGTTTGGTCTCTACTATTCGTTTGAAGTAGCTTCTGTCATCAGGGCACTTCCATTCGTGTGAGTCAAAGAGATCCACCTGCTGCCAATACCGTGTAAGGGTGGTGAAATAGGTGGTGACTGTGTTGTCCCCTTGCCTTAGATCATGTAGAATACTCTCCACATGGAAGAGTTCTGCGGTATTCTCACTGCTGGAGAAGGTGTCATGTGCCGCGTCCCATATTTCTTTGGCTGAGGTGTAAAGGAGGAAATTCTCCCCTATCTCAGTAGTCATCGAGCTAATCAACCAAGACATAACTAGATTGTTTTCTGCCCTCCAGGTTCTAAACTTAGGGTCACTGGAATCCGGTTGGACAGCTTTACCGGTAAGATAATCATCACGGCCTCGTCCACTGATAAACATCATCATGGAGTGAGACCATTGGAGATAGTTGTGGCCATTTAGTTTGTGGTTGATGATGGGATTGACAATGGTTTCGGGAGAGATCTGAGTAGTGACAGGATTGCTGGGAGATGGAGTGATCGGTGAGGATGAGTCCCTGGAGGTCTGCTCGGATTCCACCATGTTTGACTGGATTTCCGAGAGAGAAAGAGGAGGGGCTCGAAGATGGGAAAACAGGGAATAGATTAGGGTTTCAAGTACCCGGAGGCTCTGATACCATGAAGGAGATCAGAATTTGGAATTATCTCTCTTGTGTATTATGATGAATTTGGGTATATTTATACACAAGGATCCCTTTGAACTGATCCTGGTTTCTAGGAACTACTCCTACTATTAAGGAAAGAAATATACAGCTATACATATATATCAAACAAAATCTCAAGATACTCTAGATCCACAATAATAGGAAATAAGATCTCAAGATACTCTAGATCCACAATAATAGGAAACTATTATTCTTGCCCTATATAGCCAGCTGGTTTGAATTTCTACAAATATGAATCGATCCATGATATTAGAGCCAAAAATAGAAGAAAGATAAGAAGAAAAAAAGGTAAGATAAAACGGATAAGATAAAGATTAATATAATATAAAAATAACATAAGAGCATAAGAAAGATAAAATATAAAAAGATAAAAGGACATAAGAAAGAAAATATAGAAATAACATAAGATCGAAGAAAGATAAAGAAGATAAAAGATAAAAGAAAAAGAGAGAGAAAAGAGTGAAAGGAGATCTATCGTCCGCTTTGCTCTCTCCAAAGCCGTACTCTCCTCCAACCCAAGAAGAAGCATATAAGTTCTAATTACTCTAATCCAAGTCTGTTTGGGTCTTCCTCTCCCTCTCCTGCCGCTTGTTCTCCTCACCTCTCAACTCGTCTAATAGGTGCATCACTCGGTCTTCTACGCACATGGCCAAACCACCGCATTCGAGACTCTTGCATCTTATCTTTTTAAGCGTTACTCCCATCTTTTTTCTGATTATCTCATTCGTCAAACGGTCTTTTCTGGTATATCCACACATCTAACGTAACATACACATCTCTGTCACATTCTATCTTTTGAATGTGACATTGTTTCACCGTCCAACACTCTATGCCATACATTAATGCAGACCTAATAGTTGTTCAATAAAATTTATCCTTCAGTCTAGTCGGCATACCTCGATCACATAGAGATGCTGATGCACTCTTCCATTTCATCCATCATGTTCTGATTCTATGGGATATATCTTCATCTAAATCACCATCCTTCTGAATTATGGAGCCCAAGTAACGGAACATATGACACACCGGTATCTCCTTTCCGTCAAGGCTAATCTCGCCGTTACTACTACTTCTACCTCCAATAAACTTGCATTCCATATACTCAGTCTTGCTTCGACTCAGTCTGAAACTCTTGGTCTCCAATGTTTGTCGTCATACTTCTAATTTCGCTTTGACACCTGATTGTGTCTCATCAATCAATACAATATACAAACATCATGCACAATGGTATATCTCCTTGAATTGACTCCGTAATTGATAATTGATATACCCATGTTTGAGAGGTTCAGTCTCACAACAAGATTGATATTGTAAAATCAACATGTATACATTGGATGGTCAACTTATGGTTCTAGAGTATTTAATGAGAAATATATTCCTTCCCTATTTGACTGATAGCTCGGTGTCAACAGAACCACCTCTTTGTCGCGGGGATACCGTGTCTCTTGTGGGGTTGAACAAATGCCTGCAGACAAAATCAAGGAAATCAATTGTCACTAATGCTTGTGCTTCTTTGACTATTGCAACGTCTGGTTGTCCACATTATATAGCAACAAACATGGAAGTTATTGAACTTGATACTGGTATGTTGAATTTATCACTATGTTGAATTTTAGACAAGTTTTCCATCTTTTCTCTGTAAATTTTCCTTTTTCCTTTGCGACCTTTGTAACATTATAGTTTTTGCCGTTCAGCTTTTGGTGCTTCATTTTCTGGTGTGCTGACCGATGAGCTTGGGCGAGTTCGAGCTCTATGGGGAAGCTTCTCTAAACCGAAAAATAAAAATGTCTGCACTTCAATTTTCTTCTCATGAACTGAACCTTTGTACAGACAAAATTTAACAATTGTGTCTGCATTTTTAGCTCAACGATAGTAGTTCATCAGATGATTCTGAATTTACACGTGGAATTCCAGCTTGTGCAATAAGTAAACTCCTTGCAAAGATCATCTCTACTGCTGCTGGACCCCCACACCTTCTTCATGGTTTCAAACAGCATATGCCACTTGTGAGAATATTAGAAGCTAAACTCCATCCCACTTTACTTTCCAAAGCTCGCAATTTCGGACTAAGTGACAGTTGGATCCAGGTAAGCTACTTTTGATGACATTCTTTTTCTTGCTTCATTTTTTAGTTGCTTATGTTAATGTGGGTTTCCTTCCCGTTTATAGTTTTGCATAACATGATACGAAAAAAGGAAAAACACTGTCTTTTCACTTGAGTTCCTTGAATATTCTGTGTGTAGCTATATGCTTAGACAAAGGGAGTGGGGATGGGTAAGATTGGGTTAGGTTTCTAGGGCGTGGGCAATATTATTGAATTAAACAGATTAAAGTTGGTGAATAGTATGTCCATTATGGAGACTAGAGAGCTTGGCTTTGGAAAGTATGGCTGCACCAAAAAAACTTTTTAACGCTAATGGATCCGTTTTGGTTTTAATCTCCTGCTAAGACTGCTTGATTGTCCAATTCTTTGACATTTGCGAATTGCATTATTTATTAAGATTAATTTGTTTGGGTAGCACTAAAAATAGTGGTTTTCCGTAAAAGCATTGTCAGAACATGGTAGCACTTGATATAAGTGGACATACCCTTTAACATAAAGTAATAGTTAATACTCCATTGTGCAATTCAATCATGAATAAGCATATAATATACTTATATACGAAGTAATTGATTGTATAAAAAATAGGACAGCTCACCCCATCACACCCCTGTCATCTGTCGACCGCTACTCGCCTGCAATTATTGTCGCCTGCCGCCATCCACTATGATTTCCACATGCTGCTACAGTGACTGTTACAGCCAACATTGACTCCAACAAAACAATGACTAACACCAACTCCACGACAGATAGTGACTTGATAAGTGACCAAGAATGACTCAAAATTGATCGTCCCTTGACAATGACTGCCAATAAACCCCAACAATGAGTAATCTCATAGACGCAAACATGGCATCGTTTCGGCAGTTGAAGATCTGCAACACTGATGTGTTTGCATGACAATGGCAGAGGCTGGGGTTTTGGGGGGATGGATGGGTGATAAAAAATGGCAGCCCTGGTACATATTGGTGTCCCCGCATGGCGAGACTCCGGGGAAGGGCCACCACAAGGGTGACAAGGTGTTAGGGGGCAAGCATTCCCTTGTCATTTTGTGTTAGAACTCAACAAGTATTCAGAAATTTCAGAAAAGATATCAAGAAAACTTCTGCAATTTTATTGAATATGAACAACAAACTATGGCCGAAGCCCCCAAAATGGCCGAAGCCCCCAAAAGAAACAGATAGAACTCTAACTTCCCAGTCCCAAAACAACAGTCCAAAAACAGCCTCCCTCTATTCTACTCTCCACCACTATTTATACTAACTACTCTAATATTATTCTTATTGTCATTTAATATTATTCTATGCAAGTCCCTAACAATACTCCCCCCCTAAACATCCACCTTGCCCTCAAAGTGGGTGATAGGAAACAGCCAAAATCTTCTTCTTTCCCTTCATCCTAGCACCTCTCCCTTTCCAATACTTGATTGATTGTTGGACCTTTAGCTTTACTACTTCCATCTTCTTCCATATGTATTTCACAGCAGAGTTACACAAATGCCAGGACATTTTATCCACAAATTTGATTCCTTCAGATTATGTGGAGGCTAAGGCACAGCCTGCTGCAACACAGAGGACAACAACTTCTTGCTTTTGAACACTTTCTTCTTCAATATCAGTAGACAACCCATGATAGTTCAGCAATTTTCCTTCTCCATTCTTATTTACCAGGCTCTTCATCTCCTTATTAGTTCCCAGTTGACTTAATGAAGGATCTCCTTGTATAATTACCTTCTGCCCATGTACCTCCCATTTGATGGTCTGATTTTGGAAGTTAATCTCCGTATCTCCCAAACTTGTCAGCCATTCCATGCCCAACACCATATCTGTTCCCCCCCCCATTCTAGAACGTAGAAAGGTTGCTGTATTTTCAGCCCCTGTAGTTTCAATTTCAACCCATCACATCTGCCATTGTTTGTTATTTGATTTACATTACCTATCTGTACAGAATATTCGTGGTATGGTAACTCCCATTTTCTCACTAACTCTTGAGAAATGAAGTTATGGGTTGCACCATTATCAATAAGGACTTCAACCCTCTGTTCTCCAGATTCCCACTTCAATAATACTCCTTTCATCCTGAAGGTTTTCATGCTTGGAATCCCTTCCTTACTCCTTGAGTACAATTGCATAGTATTGAACTCCATTTTTGTTCCTTCTTCCTCCTTGGTATCCTTCCTGCCATATTCAGACCCTTCTTCTCCTTCAGAATCCTCCTTAAGAACAAATTTGTAGTGCTTCATTTTGCAAATATGACCTCGGTTCCAATTCTCCTCATATTTGAAACATAACCCCTTCCTACTCATCTCCTGCAATTCATTTTGTGTTAATCTGGAATTTATTTTGTTTTGAACAGAGTTGGCTGATTCCTCCACCTTCGTGTCATCAACTGCATTTTTCTCAGACTGATTCTTAGATGTATGGTTAAAATTTCCTTTATAGCCATCTCCTCATTTGTTATAACTATGTCCCCCTGACAGATTACTCTTCCAATTTTTCTTCCCCTCTTCCTTATTTCTCCTGGTCAGAATTTCATTGTTTTTATTCTCAATCAACAATGCAGTGTCCATAACCTCAGCTAGGTCTTTGGTCTTATACAGTTTTAATTCAGCTTTGATGTCTTTCTTCAGCCCATTCAAAAAGATACCCCTCATTACCTTCCTATCCATATCATCTTGAGAAGCAATGGCCACTTCAAATTGCTCCCTGTACTCCTTTACAGTACTTTTCTGTTTCAAACTCAGTAGAGGACCCAGGGGATTTTGAACCAGCTCCGGTTGAAAACGACGAGTCAGGGCTTTCTTTAGCTTCTCCCATGTTCTCTCTCGTGCTTGTTTCTCCCACCATTGAAACTAACTGAGCGCCTTATCTTCCATTGCAACCACAACCACTTCAATTTTGTCTTCTTCTTCTATACTATTGAGTCAGAAGTATCGATCGATCCTGACCAGCCAGCCGTAGGCGTCATCACCGTTGAACAAAGGTAAGTCTACCTTCCTTCCAGTTCGGTGACGATTGTGGTTGCGACGGGAATGAAAATAGTCGGAATTGCTATCTGATCCATCTGAACTGGCTGACTTTCACGAATGATGCGAGTGTTGATGGCGCGAATTGCGATGCGATGCGGATGAGGCATGCGATCTACTTCGCGATCGATCTTGATCTTTCGCATCCAATCTGGCAAGAATCGCTGTCAACATCTCCGTAGTTTGTTGATGATTCCTCTCTAACTCCTCCACTCGCGATTCCATTTTTTCGCGCGTCCAAACCATCCACAGTGATCAACGGCTCTGATACCAATGTTAGAACTCAACAAGTATTCAGAAATTTCAGAAAAGATATCAAGAAAACTTCTGCAATTTTATTGAATATGAACAAGAAACTATGGCCGAAGCCCCCAAAATGGCCGAAGCCCCCAAAAGAAAGAGATAGAACTCTAACTTCCCAGTCCCAAGACAATATTCCAAAAACAGCCTCCTTCTATTCTACCCTCCACCACTTTTTATACTAACTACTCTAATATTATTCTTATTCTCATTTATTATTATTCTATGCAAGTCCCTAACATTTTGACAAGAAGTCGCTCTCAAAACCTGAACTCGTGATCTCTCAGCCACACCGTAATCGGTGCGCCAAGGCTCTCCTTAAGATTGATGAGTGATGATTCAGAAATAACTAATGTGGTTAGTTAGTGTTACAATATTGATTATGAACAATGTTTAGAACTCGTCTTTAGGACTTGAGACATTTTGTAATTGTTAGGCGAGGTATAAGCCTCTAAGCCTCAAGGTGATTAACAACGTAAGCCTAAATCTTCATACAGAGCTCCCGTTACAAATCAAAATCACTAACGTCTAAAACATTGAAACCGAGTCAGTTCCTAAGTGTCATAATATAAAATTCTTACGATTCTTTTCTTCTAATTAAAATCAGAAAAAGTTTTTTCATATGAGAAAAGCGGAGATAAGTGGAAAAAAATAGTTGAAGTTGTTTGTATCTTATTACAAAGAAGGGAAGAGGAGAATAGTGGCAGGAGCTCTGCTGCTCTGCAAGAAATGCGCGCACTATGCAGGATCGCAAACTGCAGATTAGTCTAAAAGTTATGTGAAACAAGTGAATATTATAAGTAGAACAGTGTGAAGATAATTGTTGATTTTGGCAAATTGATTTTAGTGCTTTTAATGTGCCAATGACCAATTTTGTAAGATGCACATTCCTTTTTGGTTTGTCCCAAAAATATGAACACTTCCCTAAATTGAACTCCACTAACTTTTTACTTTCCCACTCTATCCCTTTATTTGTCATTTCACCCTTTACTTTTTGTGGATCCAACTTACTTTTTCTTACTTTTTGGAGGTTAAAATTGTAAAACAACCACTTTAAGTTTTATTTTCTTAAAACATGTGCCATACACACATATATCTTACATTATGGGACAGAGGTAGTAAAAAATAATAGACCCGATATGACATATTTCAAGTAATGAGCCAGGCAAAACATAAAAAAAAAACTGTGAAGATTAAACCTCACAATACGTCTATAGGCTTAAGCTTCACAAACCGCTCTATTGGTGATGCTTATGCCTCACAGTTCATTCACATGAGGCTTAGTCTCAAGACTTTTTTCACTCCTCACATGAATGCGAAATATTAAGTACTACCCCCAACCCGTTTCGAGGTTTCTATTCGAAAATGGCACATTTTTAGGCAATAATAAAATATTTTGAATATAGTTTGAGAAGTAGTTTGGGTGGGTATATAATATAATAAGGTAATTGATGATAATGGTGTTGTTATGGGTGTATCAATATTAATATGTAATGGTAAAGTTTTCATTTAAGAGAGATAATTATTTCCTAAAATGGAAACGGGAACCTTGATATGAGATGTCCAAAAGAGGCAAGTGAGAATCCTGAAACGGGGCGGTGGGAGTATTAACTTGGGAATAAAATATTTGTTGTGCTAAATAAGAATAATTTTAATGTTTTAGTGCTGATTGGAGCAATCATTTTTAATACTCTGATGTTCTTTTCAGGCCCTTGTGAAGAAGGACCCTGTAAGACGCCAGGTTTTGAGAGTTGAATGTTGCTTTGCTGGCTCAAGAGCTCAAAAGGTATTAGAGCAAGGTGACATGATTTTAGCAATTAACAAGGAGGCAGTTACATGCTTCCGTGATATTGAAGATGCTTGTCAAGCACTAGACCAGTGTGCTAACAGTGATGGAATGCTTCACATGACAATTTTCCGCCAGGTTCTGATGCCTCCTGTTACATTCTTCATTGTGTTTATTCTTGTTCCTTATAACAAACATCAGAGTAACACTGCCGCACCATGCGGACATACATGTGGAATGCATTTTTGGCCCCATAACCCATAACTAATCAGGGTTGCCAAAACTTGTTTTGCGGTTTTTCTTGCAATTTAGACATATTTCTGTCAGATTATTTTTGGAATCTGTGATGGCTACAGTGATGCTGTATATCTAAATGAATTTGTTTTATTGTTTTCACCATGTTTAATGTATTGTGCTAGGGCTGTGAAATTGAACTGCTTGTGGGAACTGATGAGAGGGATGGGAGTGGAACTACTCGTGCGATCAGTTGGTGTGGATGTACTGTCCAAGAACCTCACCTTGCTGTCCGTGCACATGGATTTCTTCCCCGACAGAGTGGAGTTTATGTGGCAAGGTTAGGACTTGTAACTTTTTGTGTTACTAGGTAAACATTCAATTATATGCAAGTACTCTCTCAAGTCATATGTTTTTCATGATATACTACTGTTATTTAGAAATTGCCCTGAATAGAAGTAAAAATGTTTTGAAATTCCAAAATAGGATTATCATGTTTTTATTCCCTAAATAGGAGTAATTTCGGCCAAGTTTGGAAAAAAACTGTCATGTTTAAGGCCTGCCAAGTGTAGGAAGATGAAAGTTTTGGGATTTCATCATCTAATCATTTCTTCTTGGAAAGTTAACATCAAGGGCGCCTCACATAAAATAAGTAATGAAATTTGCAGGGTAAGCAAGGGGAGCCCAGCATCTAGGTATGGTCTTTCTGCTCGCCAATGGATTGTTAACATTAATGGGAAAAAAACTCCTGATTTGGATGCTTTTATCCGCATCACAAAGGTATACTATATGTACAAGCCTTGTCCCTGCATTACATCTCCCTAATTTTCCCTTTCCTTAATCCAAACACAGCTTTTGTTAGTTTATTATTAATCAGCTCTGTTTTTTTTACTTATCCCACTCAGTTCTTTTAGTGAATAGCGTAAACAAGTGAGAAAAGTAGGAGATGAGATGGAAAACTAGCAAAAGAATGAAAGAGAATATGAAAAAGTTGGGCATCTATGTCTTTCAGAGTTTCAATACACTTTTAATTACCAAAAGAGAAGATATTAAAAAAACTTGGATAAAAAGATAACAGAGCAATTAAAAATAAATGGCTGGATTATTATTATTATTATTATTAGTATTAGTATTATTATTATTATTATTATTATTATGCATACAGTGGAGGATTTAAATTGGTTTGACAGGAACTGGAGCATGGAAAATTTGTTCGGTTAAGAACAGTGAATTTAAATGGGAAGCGTGGAGTGGTAACCTTAAAACAAGATTTGCATTACTGGCCAACGTGGGAAATAAGTTTTGATTCTTGTGAAACCTTAACCTGGCGACGCAAGATCATCAGTGCTTTAGATGGCGGTGCTATGTAATTAAAAAAAGGTTAATCAGGCTGTGCTTACAAGAACACTTATAGAAAGAAGACCAAATCGCTTAATCCAGTGCATTCATTGTAATATAAATGTGTGATGCCCGACATTATTACGTTGTAATTGATTCTCAATGGTTTATTCACTGGAAGTCTGTTATAAATAAGCACACTCTTTTTTAATACAACAGAAAACGCACACATTAATCCCAGCAATGTATAATTACTTGTATACAAAAAATATGGAGTACTATTCCATACTAAAGAGGGAAGAATTTTCTGTATGTTTCATTGGCAGGTTAAGTCCCTAAAAATATACTCCGTAAATATGGACTACAAAGACAGGTTATTCCTAAAAAGATGTTATACAATAATAATATTATAGAGTATATCCCTACCTCAAAATTATAAGTTTATAACCCTCCTGGCTCCCACGACATATAAGCTATTACTAAAGCATATTCTTATACTTATTCTACTACTGAGACCAAAAAATATGGAGTACTATTACACATTGTACTCTCTGCTTTCTCACCTGTGAGTTTGTGACCACCCAATTTAGGGTATGTTTGGAAGGAAGTTGGATGAGGTAGTATTACGTAGATATTTGAAGCAACATAATGTGAAGCAGGTGACAAAACTTTTGAAAAGGGGGTTGGCAAATATTGAGGCAAGTCAAAGTTGTAGGTATTTATCTTCATTTCTCACTTGCCTAGCATGCTGCATGCCCTTAATTCTGGATGTAATAAGATGTGGAGTATTAGAAGATAAATGATGCCTCCATCACCTTCATTCTACCTACATTCCTTCCATATACACACTATTAGCAAGTCAAAGTTGTAGGTATGAGGTATCTACAACGGCGATGGCATATTGTATCAACTATATCAATTTGCACCTACAACGCTCTAATGTGTTCTATGTGCTGTTTCAACAACATTGGATCATTTGCATGCAACGTAAATCATATTATGGTGAGAAATTTACTTGCATATAATTACAATTTACTCCCCTGCAAGCCCAGCAACCGGAGTGCATCGGCGGAGCTAGGGGTGGGCCAACCTAGGCCATGGCCAACCCCAAAATTTAAAAATGGCTTAATTTTTAAGGTGAAAAATTTCGTGTAATTTTTTTATCTGAAAATATTCTTTGTACCGGTCCAGTTCGGCCCAGTCCGGCCCAATGCCCTGGTAGTCCGGTCCAGTGGCGGAACTAGGGCGGGGCGAGTCGGTGCTGCCGCCCCCCGTTCGCCGGAGGTTGTAGTGAATATATATGTATGTGTATATGTCCAGCCCCGTCTTTAGAATAATATTATATATTAACTGACCCGCAGATTCACAAAGAGTTTGAGTAGCACAGATGGTTGAGGCGTTGTACATGTTTGTGGAGTGGTGCGGGTTCGATTCCTGCTTTGACACAGACAATTTTTTTGATAATACGAGTGCTTAGTGACTCAGTGTGTATTATACTTCCTACCACTCCAGATTTGAGGCCTTTTTTTCATTAATACTTCGTACCTAGTATGTAAGTATGTACGGAGTATTATACTTCCTACCACTCCAGGTTTGAAGCCTTTTTTTATAATTAATAAGCAGTATGTTTTTTTTTTAATTTTCTTTTTTTTACATCACCCTTATTTTTTGTTTGCAAAGAAAAGAAGTTTTATTGATGAGAATATGAGATATCTAAAGGAATTAATTAATACGTAGTGTATATATATATATATATATATATATATATATATATATATATATATATATATATAATACTTCCTACCACTCCAGATTTTAATTGTTCTTTTAACTTTTTGGGATATTATTAGTTTCAATATTTTTCCTAAGCTACCACTCCAGTTTTCTTTTACTTTTATGCTACATTTTTATTGTTTCAATTCAATTTACTTTTTTGAATATTAACATGTTGTTTACATTTTCTTCTATCTTCAAACATTGACCTATATCATTGTATAAGGAGTATCTAGAAATTTTTCAAAATGACTTGAACTTTAACATTACTATCTATTCCTTGGTTTAGTACAAATATGTCAAAATTTCTTGTTGTTATTTGACATATCTAACTTCATATATAGAGTATAATTAGATTTATGTAATACATTTGCATAAACAAAAAAAAAAATCTTTTAAAAATAGATAACCTACAAGTGACGTTGATTTGTAAAGAGAAAAATAAAATTATTATTTTCTTGATAAGTTAGCAACTTATACTGGTATATATTATTAATTTATCTTCCTCTACTTGTTTAGCTATATTTCTATTTAAACCTTGTTATTCTAAAATAAAAGAACAAGCATATTAAATCGAAATAAACTCGTTAGATAAACGAAGACTGTTATTTTGTTTAGGCACTAACAAAACAAGTACAATAATGAATAAATATCTATATTTAAGTTGATATGTGTATGTATGTGTGCGCTTGTGTGTGAATTATATACTGATTCAATTTTTTTTTAGCACCCCTCAAGTTTTGTTCTGGTTCCGCCACTGGTACGGTCAGAGATACAAGTGCATTCAAAAATTTGAGTATGCTTGCCGCACGCATATTAACACCCACCGACGTTACCTGGGATCCTTCAGGGCCTTCTCAGCGTGGGGTTCGGCTCATAAGATTGGACATCGGGCGGGTTGCTACACTTGGGCATACGTATTTGACTCGAGTCAATGGCTAAAGAGTCTGCATCTATGCAATTTAAATGTATAATCCGTGTGTGAATAGGTTGGTTAGAGAAAAAATAAACCACTTCAGATCGAGTCTTTGGCTCACTAATGCAGTCAAGTGTAGGTTCGATCAATATGTTACTTAAATCCATAAATGCGTAACAAAGTCTCATGGAATATGCCATACTTGTTCTACGATAAAATACTACGGAGTACTTCGTGCAACACGCTTGCAAGCTTAGAATGTTTGAGCCCAAGACTAGTAATCTAGTGTGATCTCTTTTGAGCCAGTCTGATTTGATATATAGAAATTACTTCAAATAGGACTAAAACTATGGCAAAAACTCAAAATAGGACTTGCTATGTTTTTTTTCCAAAATAGGACCATAGTGGTCCTATTGGAAACATACTCATTTCTTCCTTCCATTCTTACCCCTCCTTTAAATATTAGTAAAAGATAGCTAAAAGTCATAATTAAATGTTTAATTCATAATAAATTCGAAAAAATTTCAATAATTCGTAGAAAAATAATAAAAAAATTAATAAAATTTTTATAAAATAAAAAATAAGAAAAAAAAATTTTTTAATTTTTTTTTTGAAAATTAATAAAAAAATAGTAAAACTCCATTAAAAAAATTAAAAAAAATATGGATACCTTTCCCACCGCCTGTACTACCTCCCTGAACCACCACCTCCGATCAGTGTAAAAAATGCCACTTTTTTTTTAAATTCCACAAAAATGGCATATTTCTCTATGAGAATGCCAACATTTTCATTCTGCCAACTTGAATCCTTTTGACTTTTGCCAAAAATATGGCATTCATAATTTTTTTGGCATTTTTTTTACCCCGGAGACAGGAGGTGGTGGTACCGCCTCCCTGCACCACCACCTCCGACCGTTAAAAAAAATGTCATACTCCCTCCGTCCCTTAAAGGTTTGCCATGTTTGACCGGCACGTAGAATAATAAAGTAAAAACTGTGTGGTAGAGATTTGTGCAGAGGAGAGAGAAATAACATGAGCCACAAATTCATTGATTAAAATGGAAAGTGGCAAAGTTTTTGGGACAACCAAAAAAGGAAAGTTAACAAAGTTATAAGGGACGGAGGGAGTATTTCCTACAAACTTCCATTTTTTTCGGAAAATGCCAAAAATATGGCATATTTCTCTTTGAGAATGCCAACATTTTTTTTCTTCCATCTTAAATCATTCTGAATTATGCCAAAAATATGGAATTCATAATAAATTTGGCATTTTTTCCCCAAATGACTAGAGGTGGTGGTGCTGGGGCGGTATAGGCGGCGGTGACAAAAAAAATATTTTTTTGATTTTTTTTTAAATTTTTTTTAATTTTTTTTTATTTTTAATTTTTTTTAATTTTTTTTTTTAAATTTATTATTATTCAAAATATTTTTATTAATTTTTTGGTATATTTTACGAATTTTTATTATTTTTTATTATTTTATTATGAATTAAAACATTCCAATAGATATAAGGGTATATTTGTCCAAGACAAACATAATTAGTCCTATGGAAACATAGTTTATTTTTTGGTCCTATTTGTGCAAAGTGAATGACTTTTAGTCCTATTTTGATAATTAACTCTTTGATATATGTTTGATCTTGGTATTTTTACAACTTTCTAAATCTAGTCTGATCTGGTTTAATATGATCTAGTCTGATCTGGTTTAATCTGATCTAATCTGATGTGATATGAAACTGAAATAAGTTTAAGTAAAAACGGTTCGCATGTGACTATGCAAAACTAATATAGTAAAAATGCTTAGTTAGATCAGTAAAAAATTTAAAGTCCTATTAAAGAGAGAAAAATTTTACTACGTATTTAAGATGGATACTATATATATATATATATATATATAGAATAGAGATCAAATACAAAGTCTTCTTAATTTATAAAGTACAAACTCATCTTGACCGTCCGATGAGTTGATCCAAAGGACATAAAGGCAAGGTGGCATTTTTGTAATAAAACCCAACTTTTTAGGGTGCAACTCGTTGCACCTTAATGTGCAACTGTTATTTTTATGACTTTATAATGTGCAACACTTTGAACCTCAATATGCAATGCAAATAACGTCAAGGTGCATCGTACAAATATTTGCACAATAAGCACACTTTGTACTTGATCTTTTCCCTATATATATATATATATATATATATATATATATATATATATATATATATATATATAGGGGTGAGATCCCATGCAAACCAAGCTTCCCGTGCTAACCTACAAACCAACAACACCCGCTGGATTAAATCATGCGCGCGGACGGCTGGTGATTATCGAAAGGCGCTGCACTCAGCCGTATGAGAAAAAAACGGATAACACCGTTTTATAGCTTTAGGCATTTAAAAGGTCACAAATGTAATTTGAAAAAAAAAAAGATATCCCACTAACTGATTTGAACGGTGCTATACTTCCCACTAAACAACTAACAATCCAAATATATGCAAATTATATAATGTAAGTGGCAGACAAGGTAACCCCATGATAATATGATATGATTGAAGTTAATCATGAATTGAAAAGTAATTTACCTTTTTGTAATTAATAATTTCTATGAATCAGTCGGTTCTTAATAAACCTCTAT